TCTTACTAACCCAAACCTGGCTAGAAAGAGAAGGGAAAAGGAGTGCTGCTATGCAGAAAAGCTTAAAGAGTCTTCAATCCTTAAAATCAAAAGGGATGTGGGGAATTCTCATGCTACCCCATTAAGGTGATTCAGAACCTGACAATTTCCTGAACACAAAGATGAGGCCTTTCCAAAAGCAAGGTTTATGGAGCTGATCACTGTGGCGGGCAACTTTCCCGCACTAAGTATTCTCTTCCTCTCTTCTGGTGATACCTTCCCTAGACTATCTTCCAGGAAAGCAGCCATCTCTTTCTTAGACTATGTGGTTTAAAGAAGTGCTTATTAAAAAGTGGTCTCCTGGTGATGGATGGGCCACTATGCTTGCTACCAATTTGAGACAAAATTCAGGTAAGCATTTAGAAATTTTTATGCCACAAGAACTAAGAGAAGATCAGTGAACTTATCTTGTTGAGAGTCATCAGTCTGTACTTGGAAATTAAAAGTAACAGTCCTTTACTGATATGGTTTGGCTGTGTCCCCATCCAAATCTCATCTTGAATTGTAGCTCCCATAATTCCCATGTGTTGTGGGAGGGACCTGGTGGGAGATCATTGAATCCTGGGGGCGGGTCTTTCACGTGCTGTTCTCATGACAGTGAGTAAGTCTCACAAGATTTGATGGTTTTATAAAAGGGAGTTCCCCTGCACATGCTCTCTTGCCTGCTGCCACGTGAGATGTGACTTTGCTCCTCATTCACCTTCCACTGTGATTGTGAGGTCTCCCCAACCATGTGGAACTGTGAGTCAATTAAACCTCTTCCCTTTATAAATCACCCAGTCTCAGGTATGCCTTTATTAGCAGCCTGAGAACAGACTAATACTTTTATCACTGATAATTTGAAAAGCACAGGTTTTAGATGGTATCAACTCTATCCCTGTTTTAGTCTGTTACTATAACAGAATACCTGAGACTGGGTAATTTATAAAGAATAGACTGAGAATATAAAGATTTGAAGGCTGGGAAGTCCAAGGTCAAGGCACGGCAGGTGTAGTGTCTGCTAAGGCCTCCATCTCCACTTGCTAAATGGTGCCTCGTATGCAGCATCCTCAGGAGGGCAAGAGCACTGTAGCTCACATGGCAGAAGAGCAGAAGAGACTGAAGCCACTCCCACCAGACCTTTTTACTGTGGTACTAATACATTCAAGAGAGTTGATCCCTCATGACCTAAACATCTCCCATTAGGCCCAACTCCCAACGTTAAGTTTTAACATGAGTTAAAGACTCATTCAGTTTCAACATGAGTCTTGGAGGGGACAAAAACACTCAAACCATAGCAACCCCCAACTCCAGGGCTGAGCATGTGACTCAGTCACGGCCAATCAACAGTCCCTTATCTTATCCTGCATGCCTCAGCTATGGGCCAATAAATTCCCTTTTTAAGTCATTTGGAATTGGAACTCCTGTTCCTTAAAACAAATCTCACACACACACACACCCGACTGATATGGCTTGTTATCACTAAACTGTAAGTCTGAATTTGCAAAAGCCAACTTCTTTTATCCAGACAGGAACAAAGTCATTCCAAGGGTCCACAAATTTTACCAGGCTTACTGTGAAGGCATCCGCATAGGATCAGTATCTTGCAACAACAGGACATGTTGACAAGCTTTCCTTTTGTAGCTGCATAAATCTTTTATTCTTGTCCCTGGAGATAGGCACTCACTCCATTGTTTAAATCCAGAGTGAAATATAAGCCTGGCTGTAAAACCTAAGACATAAAGCCTTGGCTCCAACAGCTTGCACTGACCTGTGTTTGTAGCACAGTTAGTGACAATGACTTTGCCCCTTGTGTCCAAAGTTACCTGTATTCTGAATGCTCATGGATGCAACAGACATTTGCTGGAAGCTCCCTCATGATTCCTGCAGAACCAAAGGTCAAATCCAGGCCTATAAGTAATGACACTATGTTGTACATACTGGATCCCAAGTATCGACTGGTTCTTAAAATACGTTGTTGTTGTTGAGGCATTTCTGTTATTGAGGCACTTCTCATATTAGAAAGCAAACTGTTAATATCAACTTGGTATTTTTCATTTTCACACATATTTCCTTTGGAGCAATCACCACTAAGGAGACAGATTGCTATGGCGACTAAGGTTAGTCTAGGCTGTCTTTGTCATTAAAAGGAAATACATTAAAAGGAAAACCCAACTAATAACTTTGTTATTCCCTTTCATACCATTGAACAACAGTCTGGATTTTTAGGAAAGAAGGAATATCTTCCCTTTCTTTATGTAATTCAGGGTTTCTTTAACTTATTCTAAGTTAACTGCACCAGCCAAATGTGAATGTGTCAGTTTTTCAGGAAATACCTATCAAAGTTCCACAGCATTCAACTTACTATGCTGTAAGTTTCTGGTCCCCTGAGGGTGGGAACCGCATCTCTGTATTCTCCACACCATCTACCAGAGTATTTGCATTTACCAAAATATTATAGTTCTATCCAGTTTAAGAGCTTTCCTAAGGATTTCTGAATAACACTTTCTGTGATAGAGGAAAATGACGTACATAAAGAGCATCCTCAGAAAGCTAAAGTTGGATTTATATTTTTCTGAGCCTCGAGTGGTGGCTCATGCCTGTAATCCCAACACTTCGGAAGGCTGAGGCAGAAGGACTGCTTGAGCCGAGGAGCTCAAGACCCATCTGGGTAATATAGGGAGACCCTATATTATCTATATTTAAAACAATTTAAAAATGAATTAGCCAGGCGTGGTGGTACACACCTCTGGTCACAGGTGCTTGGGAGGCTGAGGTGGGAGGATCACTTTTGCCAGGAATGTCAAGGCTACAGTGAGCTCTGATCACACCACTGCACTCCAGCCTGGGCAACAGAGCAAGACGGTCCTGTCTCAAAAAAAAAAAAAAGTGGATATGGGATAGTTGAATATTCCTTATGTTGTTCTCTACTCTGTATGTCTGAAATATTTCATAAAGGAAGGAAGGAGGGAGAGTAGGTAGGTTGACTGGTTTAAACACACCTGGGTTAACTCCACCACTACAATAGCTATGCAACCTGGGGCTTCATTTTCTCAAGCTCCAAATGGAGATAGGTAGCTCTCTCTACCCACAGAACTATTGTGAAGGCAAGATAAGGTAAGAAAATGCCTTGGTAGGAATCCAGTAGCTGTCAGCTCGAAGACACAGGGGACATCTCGTTCTATCCATCCTGCTATCGGTACTGGAGTAGGAAAACCCACCAACCAGCACCTAGAACATGACTGCAGAGCAGCAAACAAGGCAAGGAAGAACTGAGCTAATGGTCACTAAAAACCTTTTTTGAAGACATTAAAATGCACTCCAAAGCATAGCAATGGTTCCACTTATGTGGTGACTGTCCAAGAAACGAAGTTCAAATTTACACTTTTAGGTTGAACCTCTACGGACAGTTCCTGAATTTGGCTGGAAGAAGTGTGATGATCTTCCATTCTGTCACTCTTGGCATTGCTATGCATAAAAAGTAAATAAATAAATAAAAAAGAAAGTCCTCATTTTTCTTACAAGCCTTTGGTTGCACTGCTCCACTACAGCTGCCACTCATCACAGCAAACTGGATTTGCACTAAGCAATCCGGGCTGCATGCCTTTCCCAAATCCTATGCATTAATTTACAGAATGGTAAAAGCAAAAATTAAAGCCCACTTTACATCTTATAAAATAGGTCAAATTCTGTTTCTCAGTCTTGTTCTTCTTCAGTGCCTGAAAGCACTGATCTATCCACTGTATTAGATGTTAAAACGTGGTTTATATCTGAACACCTATGTGCAATTTCTCTTTGCTGCTTCTCCTTAGCCTAGATACCACCCAAAATTTCTAAGACTCACCCACAGGGGAAAACTGATATAGTCGGAGTCATCTTATGGTACAGTTACCTCATTCTCTAGATAACTGTGGTAGGAGTTATTAAGAACATATTTTAGGCAGAGAGAGGGGAAAAGGGGTCCTTGGGAAGTTTTCATTTTTTAAAAGTGTCTCTGGAAAAGTTTATTGTAAAGCTCCGGCTCTTAGAGCCAGGCTGGCAACCTTTGATATGCAAATGTAAGCCATTAGAAACTGGGCCCACCAAACATGGCAATTCCCGCCCTCTTCCTCTAGCCCTTGCCCCACCTGTGCCGGGTGATACGGCCGCCCCCACACATCCCCCAACATGTGTAGAACATCATGGCACCCTTCATTTGCATATTAAAAAGCTAGAGTGGGAGGGCCAGCTTTTTTTGTGGGCCATATGATGACATGCCTGGTCAAACCAATGCCCTAAGCCCTATGCAAATCAGACATCGCCTCCTCCAGCCTCTGCATATGTTACCTATGTTATCCCTGGCAGAGTGGGGACCTCCTCTTTCAGCTTTGGAACGCCCCTGTCTCTGTAAGGGGGAGCTTCTTCCTTCTGTCTTCTCCCTTTCTTCTTGCTTATTAAACTCTCCACTCCTTAAAACCACTCCATGTGTGTCCGCGTGGTTTTCTCTAAACCGGCATGAGGACCGAGAACCCTGGTGTTCCTCCACTCATGGGAGCTGTACCATAAGGACGGCGACCACATGGGCCATTTTCATACCATTAGTGCTGCATTTACTGTCCTATTTTAGAATCTGAATGACTCGAATCTATGAATTTCAAGTCTATATGTTAACATTTAAAGTTTAAGTTATCTGTTCTGAAACTACAAGTTTGGATTGAATCAGTCTATATTCTATAATTACCCAGATTCTAAATGCCTCCAGAAGCTTTGACATTTTATTACTACATGTAGGGCCTTGTTGTTAACACTAGAACCTGACTATAATCCGATTTCCCCAAAAGGAGAATTTTGTATAAAATACAGTCTCATCTGGAGACACATCTGGGCGGAGTCACTTGTTAAAGAATCTAAGTTAGTAGCACCATCCCCAGTTACAATGACTTTTTAGCAAGGCCAGGATTGACAGCTGTAGTTAACCGTAAATTAAGCTTTCAGTTGATGCCTGTTCTAAACTTTTTTTTTTCTGCTACCCCAACTACCTACTGAGTCTACTTCCCTTAAGGAAGTAAATACCAATGAACCCAGGAAGAGCTCTTCATGTCTTAGTGATCAGCTCCATACTCCATTTGGCTCCACCTACTGAAGCCAAATTGTCAACCTGGACTTTAAATCAGTTCAGCAAAAGGGCAAAGAAAGAACATGGGTTTGGAATCCAGGAAGTGTCATTTTCCTCATCCGTAAACTTAGGGCAACAGTACCTTCTTTATAGAGCTATAGACGAGATAATGCTTGCATACATAGTAGGGACTCATATGATGGCATCTGTCATTAATATTTAGCAATGTTCAACCTTTGTTATCAATACTCATCTTGCCCTACCATCTCACATGTCTATTCCCTCCTTATCCCCCAAACCTCCCCATCAGGGTAACTGCCTTACCTCCATTCCATCCATTTCATTTCTGTATCTCAAGTAATTGTTCTAGGGTAGAGGCAGCTTGCAAGCACTGTATAACGCTTACTGTTTATAAAGCTCTGAATGTATTAATTCAACAGTATTTCATAAGCCATGTACTGGGTTAGGGGCTGAGGATAAATGGATCATAAGGAAAGGCCCGTTTTGCACAGAGTTCTACTTTGGTGGTAAAAACATGTGGACAAATAATGGCAATATAGTAAAATAAATGACACAGAGGCATGCAGAAAGGACTTTTGAAGGTCTGCACCGTTTACTTTCACAGACATGACAAAACAGTTTCATCTTGCAGATCCACTGATAATGAGTTCCTGGAACTATGTTGAGAAAGATTCTGACGTTTAGTCCAGATTCTACAATCAAGAGTACTGTGATTAATAATTTTTGCCATGGAAACCGCAGTACACATGCCACGTTTTAGATATACCAGATACAAAAGAAACAGTGCAGAGCTTAGAATCAGATAGACACAGGCTGGTTGTCAAAGCCGGTTATCAGCTCGGTAATCTTGGCCAAAGTTTCCTTAACCTCCGAGTCTTAACTTCCTCAGCCATAACTTGGAAATGGATGCAAACTCTCTTATAGGTGGTTGTAAAGATTTAATGAGATAAACTTTGTAAAGTACCTGGCAAGAAGCCTATACTCCACAAATGTGCAGGATTCCTTTTCCTTTAGGAGCACTTGGGGCCTGAATATAGTTACCAAGTTCAGTCAGTTAAGTCAAGGGTCCCAGTGCCCAGGCCACACACCAATAGCTGTGTTCTGTGCTCAGGCCACTTGCTACTGGTCTGTGGCCTGCTAGGAACCAGGCTGCACAGCAGGAGGTGAGTGGAGGGTGAGTGAGCATTACCACCTGAGCTCTGCTTCCTGTCATATCAGCGGAGGCATTAGATTCTCATAGGAGCGGGAACGCTCTTGTGAACTGTGCAGGTGAGGGATCTAGGCTGCACACTCCTTATGAGAATCTAATGCCTGATGACCTGGGATGGAACAGTCTCATCACAAAACCATCCCCACACCATCCATGGAAAAACTATCTTCCACAAAACTGGTCCCTGGTGCCAAAAAAGGATGAGGACTGCTGAATTAGGTGACTTGCTGAAGTCACAGATCTCCAAAGAAACAAATCAGGCTCATGTTTTGATTCCAGAACCACAAGCTTTCCTCAAAACTCCCATATCTGATTGGTACAGAACATTAAGGGTTGAGACTATTCAAACGACCTGAGAATTATCAATCCTTGAATTACCAAATTACGCACACAAATCACACGCCTTCCTCTCCACCCAACTAGCAGTAAGTGGTCTCTGTGCACCAATCTCACACCCACACTGCTACTTTCAACCAAAAAGCTTTTTATCACCCCTCTCTGCTAACCTAAATCTAACCTCACTGAAGGAAAACTCTCTAATCTAGTGAACGCTCCTGTGTGTACTTCAGCTTCGCCATTCTTACTACTTCTGTATTCTGCTACCATTCATGTCTTCAACTTACAGTGCAGCAAAGTTCAACACAGATTTGAATCACTATCTGCCAAATCCCATATTATAATTAAAATGCAACTATGATATAAGCTCGGTAATGCTGATCCCCAGCATCTGCCGTGGCAATCTGCAATCTGTGCAAACTACAAGTTATTTAATTATTTGAACTATTTAATATTTGTATGATTTTTTTCATGCAATCAGACCTAAATATATACGCTGAGACTATTGTTTATTTGCCAAATGATCACAGGCTGTTCATTTGATCTGCTAGTTCTCTCATTGTAAAAATGTAGACAATGCTTATTTATACCCTAAGGCAGTTTTGAGATTAAACAATATATGCAAAACACTTAGAATAGTGCCTGCCACATGACAGGTAATAATAATTACAAATACTTGTATAAAGCTTAATATATGCTTTACTTATGTGTATATTACCAAATTTAATACTCATAACAACTAAAGCAAGTACTACTACTATTCCCATTTTATGAGTGGGGAAACTGAGGCATAGAGATATTAAATGCCTCATAACTGTGAAACCAAAATAAAATTACCAATTCAACTTAAAAATGAATACCAACAAAATTCCAATTCAAAATTACTTGACTGATGTTTTGCTAAACTAAACCACTGGTAAAAGTACAGATATAGTACTGACCTCCATGGCTATGACACAGGTTCTTCTTAAGCTGAGTACTTCCTGTACTGCTGTGTGCTGGATGAAGATTCAATTCTTTCTGCTTATTTTCTTTTGGAAGTACTGTGGAACCACCATGAAGCCCTCTTCCCTATAGTGAACTGGGAAGTCATTTGACCCTAATGTATTACATGGTGTCTGTTCTTATTAGTCAAAGATAATTAAGAGTACTGTTGGCACAATGAGATCGTAAACAAAAAAGCAAGGAACCTGATATCCTTTCCAACTCATTCACAATATACTTCTATTAGTTCTTCCTCTATGACTTACAATAATAAATAAAGTTTTTAACCATCAGAAATTGTGCCTATGGTAAAAAGGAATTTGAGGAGGAAAACATATTTAAAAAAAGAAATTGTGCCCAGCTTCTCCAAAATCCAGACTGAGAAACACTCTCTTTTTTTTTTTTTTTTTTTTTTTTTTGAGACGGAGTTTCACTCTCGTTACCCAGGCTGGAGTGCAATGGCGCGATCTCGGCTCACCGCAACCTCCGCCTCCTGGGTTCAGGCAATTCTCCTGCCTCAGCCTCCTGAGTAGCTGGGATTACAAGCACGTGCCACCACGCCCAGCTGATTTTTTGTATTTTTTAGTAGAAACAGGGTTTCACCATGTTGACCAGGTTGGTCTCGATCTCTTGACCTCGTGATCCACCTGCCTCGGCCTCCCAAAGTGCTGGGATTACAGGCTTGAACCACCGCGCCCGGCCCCAAGAAACACTCTCTTAAGTCAGGATTCTTAACCCAGAATCCAGAATTCCTTTTAATTCTGGGGATTTGGGAACTTGGTACCACATACTTTATGTTACAACATTTTGAGAAGGGTTCTGGTGGCTTCACAGGAGGGCCGTGATATAAAGCAGTTAGAAATCCCCACCTAGGTAATCAAAGACCCAGAGGTGCCTGGGGATCCCCACCCAACAGAACCCAAGGGATGGCATGCTGGCAGTCAGGGTACGGTGCCTTGAGGAAACCTGTCAGTATCTGCACAGAGAAGAAAGCTGGCCTCCAGGCAAGGTCTAGGAAACTATTCAGGTCTGAGCCAGGTCTCTCTTGGAACAAACTTTCACTGATAGCCTTTTCCCGCATATATTCAACCAAGTGCACAACTTTGTCTAATTACAAGGAACCACTCCCAGGCTGGGCTGGGCTTTATACAAGCATCAACAGGCCTTATGACAACCCTGCAAGGCATGTGCCATTACAACACCCATTTTACAAGACGAAGTGTTAAGGCCAAAGAGTAAAGTTAATTTGCCCAAGGGCATCAGACCAATGGCTACTGGAGTTGAGGTGTGAATTTGGGCCTGATTGGCTTCAGTCCTGCCCCTTTCAGCCTTGCCATGCCTCCTCTCCCATAGGGGGCTTCCTTTTGGGGCTCATTTGATTCACTTCACTTTTGACAAAGAAAAATTAGGGACCCAGACTACTATAGCAATTTAGTGTCAGAGTTGCCTCTGGACCCAGGCTCCTAAAACTCCTTGCTGTCCCCTCCACTCTATATCAATATTCTTGCTATTTTAGGATAAAATTCAATCTCCACCAAACCCAAGTGATTTTGCAATTTCATCAGGACAGGCCTCCAGCAAGTTCTGCTTTCAGCACAGTACTTAGCATATACCAGTATCAATATTTGTTAAATACATTTGGAGAAATGCATTAAAAATTTATGATAAAAACTTCAGATCAAATCTGCAAACAAATATCTATTGTATGAATCAAATTATATTTGTGTTGCCTATCACCACAACCTATTCACTCCTTCCTTCCTTCACTCAATTGTCGAAGGCACCCAAGCAAGCACTGTGAGTTTCAAAGACTCATGTGACGCAGGTCTGGTCTCAAAGGTAACGCGGCACCAAAAGAGCAAAGAAACTTACAATGCAGAGGAGAAAGGACCCAGAGAAATACTGACCAAGTATCAGTGGCAATGGATGACGGCGATGACCCCAGGAGCACCGGGGGAGACCACCCAGTACGTCACAACATCTTTTGTAGCTTGGCAGGCAGTTCTGAAATTATGTTAGATTCTCCCTTTCAAAATGTATCACCCAACTCTTTCTTGAAAAATGTGAGTTAAAGTACAGCCAACTTGTGGCTGTCCTATTTGAATTTTTGACATTTTATAAGTAGAGTTTTAAAACAGATTAATTGGAAAAGTCAAAAACTGAAACGACGATTTTTACTGCCTTGGTTAAAAAATTACTACCCCCTAAAAAACAAATACTGTATCGAAAAGCATTTATAAAGGGAAAATGTGCTTGGTTTGCAGACTGCAACTAAAACAGGTTAAATATTTTGGGTAGCCATTTAAGCAAATATCGTTTAACCAATGCCCTGGCTTAGAAGGGGGAAAGGGATCCAACGGATTAGAAAGCCTGCCTCCGCCCCCAGGGGGTGCCTACGTGGAGCTTCTGAATCTGCCTCTGGAGAACCCAGAATGTGATTCCCAGGACCTGTCGAAGAATTTCACAACCAAGCATTCTTGCATTCCCCTTTGTACCTGAATCGTAGAAAGTTCTGGAAAAAGCTAGGAGTGCGTGATTGACATTTCCCTGCCGTTCCTTCAACACAGAGGGGTTCGGTGCTTGGTGGGCAGACACCAGCAAACAATGGGAATGCCAGGAGCCCGGTGCGGCGGTAGGAGCAGTATCCTGGGCTCGGGGGGATGTAGAAGCCCCATTCCACCCCTAGGGGACCGAACCCGGTAAGGTCGCCCTAGATGCTCACCACACTCCGGACAGAAGGGACCCTGAGACTAGGACCCCCACCCCAGAGAGAGAGCCTGCCGCTGGAGGAGGGGACCCACGACTGCTAAGAGGCGGATTAGCACAACCGCGAAACTCACGACCCGCCTCTCCCCCAGAGAAACTAGTGTGGAGAAATTAAAGGTCATGCAGGATTATGTACCTGCCCCGCGAGCCAGGGATCCCAGCGCATGGCCTGGGAGGCCTCAGGGACAAGGGCAGGTGTGTTTGGGGGATAAGAGAGGGAAAATCTGGGGGCAGGGTTGAGGAGGCTGGCAGGGGCACAAATGGGGACCAGTTTGGAGATGTCGGAGGGGACCAGGGCGCGCCAGCCGGGCGGCAGGACGCCCCCGAGGGGCTATGGTAACCCCCTCCAACTCCCGCCCCGGGGTTGGGCGCCGCGGAACCGCCCCACCGCCCCTACTCACTTGAGTTAGAGGCGGGAGCACGCGCCGCAGGCGGAGCTAGAGAGGCTCGGCTGGAGGGAGGGTCCAGAGAGTCCGAGATCCGAGGCGAGGCGCGCAGTGGTGCCTTTTAAAGAGCGCCCGGTGGGCGTGGCCGTGCCTGCCCCGCCCTCCGCCGCGCCCCGCCCCGCCCGCCGGATTCCCGGAGCCGCTCGCCGGGCTGGGGCTTGTAGCGGGAAGGCTGCCCGCGGCCCGGCTCCCGGCTAGCCGCTAGGAGACAAAAGGCAGGAGGCCCGCCTCTTCCTGCAGCTTCCCGCCCGCCCAGCATCTTCCCAAGTCCCGGGACCGCTCGCTCCCAAGGGGACCCGGCAGTTCCAGAAGCCACTGGACTTGGAGAGTGACTTCCTTCCCCTCCAGGGAGGCCCGGCGGCGGGACGGTCCCTCTGGGAGGTGGCCCTGCCGCCCCGCGTCGGATCTGTCCACCGCGATCGCCGCTCCCCCTCCTCGCGGAGACAGTCAGGACCCGGGAGGCTCTGGCAGTGGAAAGTCGGCAAACGGGGCTTTCCGCCACCTCCTCCCTTGCCTTGTCCTTGTCAGTAAACTCAACGTGATTGACTTCCCTAGTTAACTCGTCCGATTTCCACCTTCTGGGAATCCACAACTTTCTCGTTCTTAAAGAGCAAAATTCCTCATCTAGACTAAATAAATGACGTTATGAAAACGCCCCGTTCCCAAAGTAGTTCGCTCTTCCCCTCCACTAGGGCACAGCACGCGATACTGAGGGAAAAGAAAACTCAACCCAAGCAGAAACCCAGGGCGCCACAGAGCCCTGCGTTTCTATGTGTTGATGTCAGAAAAGCACAAGGATACCCGTGACAACCGAAGGGACCTCATGCCTCAGCTACGGGATGGTTTATTGTTTTAGAAGAAAAGGAAAATAAACAATGCAGTCTCTATCTGGTTTATATTCTAGGCCTCCTCATGACCTCTCCTGCCAGAAGCAATGATCGCAGAGACTGATATTTGCGGAGTGGGCAGTTCAAAAAAGCCCTCTCGTGCCATAAATGCTATTGCCTCCTCTGGTCCAGAGTTTCTCAGCCTCCACACCACTGACATCTTGGGCTGCATAATTCTTTATTATGGGGGGCTGTCCTGTGCATTGTAGGAGGCCTCCACCCACTAGATACCAGTTGCACCCCTCCCCCGACTTTGTGGCAATCAAAAAGTCTCTAGACATTGCCAAATGCCCTCTTGGGGAGAGTGCAGGGAACGCATATCAGCATGACAATGTGCAGAACCGATTTATAATATTATTATTGTTTTATTTTATATGCTGGGGCCAATCCAGGATAAACTTATTATAATAGCTGCCTTATTTTCTGTCCATCAAGTACTGTCCAAAAACATATAGTAGTGATTGACATCTCTTGATACTGTGACAGGAGTCTGGAAAGCATTCTTGCCTGCTGTGAGCTTTTCTAAATATGGGCAATCCTTATTTCCATGATATCAGCTAGTGTAAGTGACTTGACTCATAGGCCAACAGGAAAATTCAGTCCCTCAGAGTCTTCATTTGCTTTAACTCAGCTGCTCACAGTATTTATTTTTTCTTACATAAGTTTGCTTAGTGCTTCTACTGAATAAAACTGTATCGATGAGTCTCACTGCAGCCCTGGATTTTAGCAAACCACTGCCCTTTGTCTCCTACCCTGAGTTCTTCTCAATGCCTCTTTGTGGAAGGGCCCTCCCAGACCTGAGCTGTTTGCTTTCTGTCAAGCTCGAGTTGTCCCTAATTTCCAGAGCCATATCTTATTTGAAATTGGGCTTGTTGGCCAGGTGTGGTGACTCATGCCTGTAATCCCAGCACTTTGGGAGGCCCAGGCAGGCAGATCCCCTGAGGTCAGGAGTTTGAGACCAGCCTGGCCAACATGGTGAAATC